CACCCGCAAACCCGCTTGTGACTCAAGAGAAAAGTAAAAAAAAAAAATATGTTAAACGAAATTATGAAAAAAGCCGACTACAGCGGAAACACAGGAAACAAGTCAAAGAGAACAAACACAAATAAGTGAGCCAACAAAAAACCGCACAGACATTTAAGAAAAGCCGTTGAAAAAATCTCCACGCAAAAATTGCCAAAGAGTGGTTGGAGCTCAGAACATTTCCCGCTGACATTAACACAAATGCTTGACAATTTGTTTTACCAAATTTCCAAGCTACACCAACAACAACAACGAACGAGAATCGCCACATAAGGCACCACCCAAAACACACACAAACAAAAAAAGAAGCAGTAATAACAATAACAACGCAAAATTCTGCGCCGCACAACAAAAAAGTGCTTTCACTCGGCAAGGCAGCGACGCTGACGTCAACGACGCACGTCCGGCAAGTGTGTGGGTGGCCGCTGTGTGTGTGTGTGCTTTTGCACAGCCCCCGCAGCGCATCCTGTCGCTTGGTACACTTGGTTTACTCATTCGTTTGACCGCGGTTGTGCGTGAGTGTGTGTGCGTGTGTGAGTGCGCCTACGCTTATGTGCGCTCGTTCGCCGTGGATGTCCTGTGGTCACTTACACTTTTTTCCTCTAAATATTCGCACTCACTGTTACCGCAGGTCACTGCCGCTGCTGTTGATAACAGCCGGAAAAAAAGTTCCCAATAACTGTCGCCGAACTGTTTTGGTTAACAGTGTATTACCTATTCAGTAAGGAAAGTAGACGCAACGCGGCTGTAGCGAAAACCACAGCAACCGCTTAGCTGGGCATAGCTGGAAGTAAGCGATGGCAGCCTATGCGCAATTTGGTTACAATTATCCGTCGGCAAATCAGGTGAGGCAAAATTACAATAACTAAGATGGTGAAAATTTCATACACAAACATTGAATAAGAAAGGGATGAAGCTATTAAATAACCTTCCAAGGAAACATACCATAGAAATAGTAGATACATTACGGGTATTCTCTAGGTATTCCAAAATCCTTATACGGTGTACGGGTTGCACGGTTTACAAAGTTTCCCATAGGAAAACCGGATTCACTGCGCAATCCGTGCACCGTGCAAGGGTTTCGCAAACCTAGAGAATACCCCTATAGGTTAAAACATTTCCGAGATCTATTTACATACATGTTCATACTTATTTTAAAAATGTTTGTACGAAACTTCGATATAGCGGCATAACCTTTAACTTTTTATCGCCGTTAAAACTTTTTTATTTAAGGTAAACTGAAACAGGCTATCTGATACCCTTCGAAGACGCTGTCGTGTTGGCAACGTTCCTATAATAACCTTTGAGGAAAGGTCAAACGAAATTAAGGGGATAAATATATAAAGTCGGTTTCACAGTCTCAGTCCCCAATAGAAAAATGGTGGCTACGATTCCGAGGACACCTGAAGAGAATTTAGAAAATAAAATTATCTTAATAGATAGTACAACTTCATTACCTTGTAGGGAATGTAGAAAAGGGTCTTGTAGATATTTTGAGGTTGACCATCCCACATCATTCAGTTTATAACCAAGATGAAAGGATTGGACTTCATTAGGCCTAATTAGATTTCTGTGGCGCGCCTTCGATGTAGAATGTGAGCAAAAATAGAAATATTTTTTTGAAGAGAGTTGCCACCTATTAAAAAATGTTGTTAAGATTATTTAATAAGATAAATGAAATAGATAAGTACAATATCGGTATCAATCGAAATCGTTTTGAAATTGCGTTACTTCTATACTACACGTAGAAAGGTTGCCACCTGCTTAAAAAATTAAATTCAACTTAAATAAGGTATACTGAGATGCATGTGTATTACAACATGGGTGTTAGACGAAAGAAAATTGTTTAGGTACATATTTAGCAAGAAATAAGTGAAGATTAAAAAAATTCCTGAAACTGTAAAGTTAATTTAAGAGTCGATTAATATAAAAGGAATGCATGTAATCAAAACAAATCCCTCATAAATATGTACAAGTTAAGATCTTAAACCTCTTACGTCCAACTTCCATACATGTATATGGTGAAACATATTTCAATTACTTAATTTCTTTAATTCAAATGGAATTTAATTTTTGAAACAGGTGGCAACCCTCCTACATGTAGTTAAGAAATCAGTCCTTTCAAAACCCATTCGATTGATTCCCATCTTTTAGTAATTTATTTAACTTTCAAAAATTTGAATCAAATTATTTAACAGGTGCCAACTCTTAAAACAAATAAACCTTTATTACATATCTAGATTTAAATGTACATATTTGGGGTATTCACAACGGTGTCGTAAGTGTCGTATTGTTGTATACCGTAAACTTTAAGCGCCTAAAAATATATTAAGGGGATTCGCAAAGTACCATCAAAGACACATTATGCATTTTCAGGGCTAAAAAATAGTTCGTTGTGGTTTAAAGTTCTCTAAACATTTATTAAAGCTTTTAAAGTTTACGACATAAAACAATACGACACCGTTGTAAATCCCTTAATTATTTTTATTTTCAACAAAATAAATTTGCATTTAAAATATATCAAGTCTAAACTACAGAACTCAAATTTTTTGTTTTAAGCAATTGCAAATGGAAAAATTGAAAGTTTATCTTTTTGTGTCGTCAGTTGTATGTATTTTGGACATTTTTTTTTTCGTGTAAAGCCTAAAACTGATGTTGCCCTGACTAAAATATTTGGGCGGTTTTGCTGCGTGTTACTCATTTTGTACAAAATTGGGACCGGAGCTTTCATAATAATTCAATAACCTTTCCAACAATACCAAGTACGTCTACATATATTTAGGACAACAAAATTTTTGATTTTTGCCCGCGTAGACTCACAAATGGACAACGGGGATTGGCACATGATCATATGCATATGGTGACAACCAATCTGGGTTCAAAGAATTTGCAGCAGATAAGTGCTAGATCAAGCTCCCAACCCCCTATAATTCTCAATACACGGATAAAGCTCCAATGTGGTGGTTTTGGTTAGGTCTGTTTAGACAGTTAAACTTCTATAAAATATACTGCAAAGACGCGGTGAATGGGAAGGTTAAAAAAAGTCTGGATCTACTCGCTGTCCTGGAAGTTGAAAGTAGAACGAATGCGTCCTCTCTTGCTTGTGTCATCTCATTGCCTACTTCGTATAATTAACGTGTCCCGCTACCCATACTATAAGTAGTTGAGCGGTCTGCTCAGTCTCCCCGTTCAGGCAGTCGCGCTGGTCATCTATAGTTTGGGAGTATTGGAGTTTCGCGTAAGGAAGGCAAATACTTTAAGAGCTGCTTTGCTGTTTGAATAAAGCTTCGCTCACATCAATAGCTTATAGCTGAGCTGATACGCCCACACTGTGTTTGTTCTCTCAGCACCTGTCAGCCCATCTATAAGCTGCTCGGGGCATTCAAGAAGATGTCGATAAATGTGAGTACGGTCCATGGGTGCTTGAAAGATGTTACAATATTTTTCAGGCGAAGCAATAACTTTGCCCATCTACCCATATAAGATGTACAGCGAACTGTTTAGCCATCGTCGTTATTCAGGTGGTTGTGGCGGTCAGCTACGGCTTGTGAGTTTCGTGGGAGGGATACAAATGTTTGGAAAGTCGATTTGTTGTTTGAATAAGATTTCGCACAGATAAAAGATTAAGCTATGAGCTCTCCGTTAGCGCGAGGCCATAATAAAAAAGTTGTTAAATATTAGCAGTTTGAATCGTGAGTTTTCTGCCACGAATCTCTTTTAATTTTAAAGACGCTACTCTGATGGAAGGAATCATTTTTGAACCCTAAGTGTTCTAAAAAGACATCGCATTTAACAGTTTAGGGCGGTCATGGTCACTGCCTTGGCCGCGGCCAAAGCTCTTTTAAGCTTTCTACACATTTTATAAAGCCGCGCGTAGAGTAAAAGCTCTCTCTGCCCATCGCTGGTTTAGGGGCATCGTTGTAGGACTCAAGATAATTCTAGAATACTATTCAAGTTCTGAAACTGCACAACAAGTAGCAGCTTATGAGGACTGGAAAGCTAATAAAAAAAGTAGCTGGTAGTTGACATTTCAGATTCTCGAAAAAGTGATTGCATTAGAAATCTGTAGCGTATTCTTTGGAGTATCTGCCTTTAGTGCTGAGATTTATTTTTCAAGTCGTCCTACAGAATTTAATGTGCAATGCTTCTCAAGGCAATACGGAATATGTAACAGCTAAAGTCGAATTCGGAAATTTGATCATGAATCAAAGGCCCTTCAGCTAAATACTTACAATAAGTTCTCTTTTATGTTCGAAATAGGCTGCGTAATAAATAAAAAAAAATTGTAGTGGAAACCGAGTTGTGGCTTAGAAACTATGAAATGAACTTCGCCAAATCTGATACGTAAGTACTAAAATTTAAACCTTAAAATTGGTGTATGCCAATAATTACTTGTACATTTAGTAAAACATCCGCTGTCTGCTCCTAAATATTTCCATCACAATTCAACTCGCTCATCCTACGACTGACTCAGCCAGTGGTTGCCAATAAAATTATTTCGTACTAAAAATATGTTGAAACCCCTAATTAGCTTAATGTTCTAAGCAGACAAGCCCATAACTTAACCTCTTGCTACGTCTACACCTCTCCTTCGCACCGAATGACCGACACAGAGAGAGCGAGTGCAAACGACCTAACAGCGCTCATGAAACGTGATTAAAATTTAAATCGACGCTAATTTTAGCTGCCGCTAATATTAAACGTGATTTTATTATAATTTTAAAATGGTTCGATAATTAGAGCAAAAGTTTATGAAATGGATAGTACTAGAAAATCCCGAATATTTAATGCAAAAGGCAGTGGGATGTGTAGAAAAAGTTGGGAAAAAAAGGAGTAAAATTCATAAAAGCGCCACCGGCATGAATATTCAGATAAAGCAGAAAACTGGCAGAGGAGGGGCGCACACAGAGGAGCCCCTGTGTGTGTGTGTGTGTGTGTAGGTGCGGTGGTTTTGGAACTATTGGCCGCAGGCTGGTTCTTCAGCTGACTGGGCTGCCGGTTGGCGAGTTGAGCGGTTGGTTGGTCGTCGCGCGTTAATGCAGCAAATTATGCAAGGAAATGTTTGCAACAATTTAGGACATTGCCACAAAAGCAACAATTTAGTAGCCAACAACAACAACAATAACGCTTATAATGAGCTTGTGGCTATGCTGGTCGAGCGACGCTTACACATCCATAATTACACTCGAATGGATGCACAAAGGAGTGGGGACATACATATGAACATGCATATTTATGTATGATTGCAGCACACACATACATACACACATACATATGCATGTACTTACGTACTTATACTCAAGCACCTATAAATATTTAGACGCTTTCTCAATTGCAGGGTCAAGCCGTGTTTCAGAGGGGGGCAATCGGTGGCATCACTAATACTATTTATGTAGCAAGTTTATCAAATTAGTAGAACACTGCTGCGTTTCGTTTACCTCTCGTTCCTCTTTGCCAACACTTCAACCTAGGGCCTAGGCACAACTTGAATGCCGACTTCCGCTGTTGCTTTCTTGAAGATAATTTACACTGCACTCAAAAGGGAATCGCATGCGCGTGTATGTACATATGTATGTGTGTATGTATGTATGGGTACGTGCACAGGTGTATCTACGTAGGTTTGCAAATATTCGCCAACGACAGGACTTCAGCGGCACTGCATTGCGTCTAAATTTTAAAGTTACATATACATACTTACGTAAGTGTGTGCTTGCAAAATAATACATACATACATACATACATATATACATACATAGACACGTTATCCCCATGTGTAGCGCTGTTTACATTTTAATAAATTAACTCGAATGGCTTCCCATTTATTATAATAAGCAAACTTGGGTTA